GATTAAATGTCATCATCAGTGAGTTCCAAGAGGCCGATGTCATTGCAATTATGAACTTTGAAGCTTTGGAACACAACAGGTTTAAGAAGTAGAAAATTAATCGAGAACATTAACAATGAAATGTGATAACATTTGGTAAGGATGGGTATTCAAAATGGGTAGTAGATTTTTTCCCCCTAGTTTTGGGCTTGAACTCAGGGCCTGGGCAGATCCCTGAGCTTTTTGGGCTCAAGACTAGTGCTCTACCACCTGAGCTAAAGCTCCACTTTTGGCTTTTTAGTGGTTAATTAGATATAAGAGTCTTATAAGCTTCCTTTCCTTGCCCAGGCTGGATTTTAACCACACTATTCAGATCTTAGCCTCTTGAGTAGCTAGTAGTACAGCATCCAGCATCCGGCCACCAGCATCCAGCTTCGCAATAGAATCTTTTAAGATGAAAGCGTATTTTGGACAAAGAGGAAGTGGTTCTAAAAATATGAACAAGTTTCAGTACATTCAGCAATGACTTGACTAGAAAGGCAAAATGAGAGAATTACCCAGAAAGGAAGAAACAAAGAAACTGGCAAGATATGAGGGTAAAATGAGAAATAAAATATGGAGAGCTAGGCAATCCTGCTCTCCCCAAACCAACCATCCTGAAATCTGGTCATATCAGCATGGAATTGCAGAGGTTAGAACCACGGGGCTGGGTCAAGTCTGGTTACAGTCTATCTGCCCGGCCTGCTGCTGTCTCTTGTCACGATTCTTAAACTCCTCCATCCCATAGTTTTTCTGGGTACTTTAGACCTAGGTAAAGGGGGAGGTTGGACCTCACCCTATACTTCGGAGGAAATAGTCTTCTTCTTCTACCTTCCTAAGGGGCAGATAGCAGACCCTTTCTCTCTCACCCCAACACATGTAAGAATGCTCAGTTTTGCAGGGTCAAGATGATTTAGAGAGGTAGAGGCAGGGAAAGAGAAGCAAAGGAGGGAGGAGAAATTAGGATTCTAGGCTCCTCTGAAAAGGTTCATTTTCACAGTATTAAAAACCCTAGTGAAATGCTAAAATTTTCTTAATGGGATGTAGAAAACTTTCCCTTAATCATCACTGGAGTACTCATTAGAGCATTAAATAGCTTGGCTTTTTTTTTTTTTGCTGAACAAAATAAAAGGGAAATACACAGTCTTTTACATGGATATAGTCTACTTCTTTCTCTGAACAGCTGAGAACTGAATGGTGAAAGGCTAGATGGCTTCTCAGAATCACCGAGCAGTCAGTCTGAGGGAGAGCCAGAGAGAATGCCCCATCTCCTGTCTATCTGTGGCTCTGTGCTAAACTGCCTCTCTGGTCCACTGGTTCCATATTCTGGGCCTTATCAAAAGTCTTTTTTTTTTCAAGTGCACCATATATATACTACCTCTCAGGGGGCTCAAGCCAGGCCTCTGCAGCCAGTCTGTCTGCAGCCGTTTGCCTATTGTCCTCTAGGAAGGGTATCAGTTTCTAATCTCTCAGAGGAGCTTCTTCTTAATCCAAACACTCAGGGGAATGCGAGTGGCTCAGCAAGTGAAGAAAGATGGAAACAGATAGTTTCAACTCTGAAGGGCATATTCATTTGGATAAATAAGAACCCTGGAGTCTGGGGGTTTTGAATAGGACAAGGAAAAGTAAGAATAAGGCAAGGGGAGGCCAGCTTCCATCCTTCATTCCTTTTACTTCCAAACATCCTTTTGATTTCATTCTGGGAGAATGTTTGTTTTCAAGGCTTTTCCCTTTCTTTCTTCTGTGTGTCCCTTCCTTTTAGATTTTATAGGTACATGTAATATTTATGCGGCAGTAACCTTTCAAAGCAGTTTTAGAGATTGACTGTTTACATTTAGGAATTTTCTTTAAGGTCTACAAAGTCCTTTGTGCTTTTTCCAGGAAAGGCACTCAGTAAGAACCAAAACAAACAACTGAATAACTCAAATTTGATCAGAGCCAAATCTCTTAGGAGAGAAGGATAGGGGGCAGGGAAGACTTAGCATTTGTTTTTGTTGTTTCCTCTCCTCCGCCCTCAACCCCCACCCCCTCCAAACGATGGAGCCAAATAGTCGAGCAATTCCTACTTTTCCAGGCTGGGTTCAGAAGGGCTTGTGAGCTTCAGTTAAAGCTAAGTTCTTTATGTCCTAGAAAGAGAAATCTTCCCACTGGGAGGCTTTGTGAGACACACCTCAGAAATAAGCCAGAAACTACGACAATGACATCTGTTTCATTAAGTATCAGGCTAGGATATTTGACATTTGTCTCTTTGGTCTGGGATAATGGGGAACTGTTATTATTCTGGCCAAGTTTTACAAGTTCCTGGCAAGGCCAGGGCTGTGTCCCTCAGGCTTGTGACTGTCAACCACGCCTGTGAAAGGTTTTTATCAAAAGCCATGAGGATGACTGTGCTCTAGCAGACTGGCTTTTTTTTTTTTTTAACCTGATCCCTTTTCCGCTTTTCTATGTGAGTTATTTTGTGAAAGCATTGCCTTATTTAGAGGTGAAAAAAACCTATATTTACATTTGATTGCTACCAGTTCTTAGTTCTTTGATCTTCAACAAGATAACAAGCTGTCGGGTGTCTCAGTTACCCTGCTTGTACAGCAGTGACAATATTGATCTTACATAATAACTATAAAAATTAAATGAGAAAACAGTTACAATAGCTCCTGTTTTCTAGTTAGCAATTTGTATTAGTCACTGTACACTGGCTTTCTCTCTGTGAATGCTCTCAGGTCTTCCTTTGAAAAAAGTGCTAATTTTAAACTCCATGCCTGTTGGATTACATGTGCTACAAAACAGGTCTGCATTAAAAACAGAATTAATGGGGGGAAATACAGTTATAAATGCAGTGGATAGTCTACATAATTAAGAAAATTGAAGAAAGGAGTGAGGTTGGGAGGAGAATGATGCATGGGTTACATCGATCAATTGATCATTGTGGTCATATACTACTTTGTTGAATGGGAATTCCTTTGTACAACTACTTAAAGATAAAAATAAAATTTAAAAAATGGAATTAAGGCTGGGCTCCAGTATCTTCTTTTCTTCTTCTTTGTAATATAATAATCTAAATAACATATTGCATGTTATAAAATACAATATAAAATATAAGGTCTGAGAATGACAATACATAAAATGCTATAATTCATGTAAATCAGCGAGGCAGAACTAAGATTTAAAAAAAAATGGAAACCTCACTTATCTCTTAATCAACTGAATGAATTCTAATATCTTCAAGCTGTAAGGGTTTTTGTTTTATGGTTAAAAAACAATCACATTTAGCAAGGGAATATTTGTTTCGTGTGAGACCGAAGATTAAAATTTTTTTCTTTAGCATTTAAAGAGCCCCCAAACCAAAACAGGACTTCGTAATAGCAAAACTATTTTCAAGATATTTGAAATAATTTTTTTAAACACGTAAACAGCAAACAAATAAAATGAGGGTCAATACTCCCAATTATTGTATTCATTTGTTAGGCAAGAAGATTAGTTAATTTGAGTGTGAAGACATTATATTTCCCCCCTAAAATCTTACTATGAGGCGGATAAGAATAATCTGGTGACTAGCCCACAGAGAAGAGAGATATTTGTTGAATCAATATAGTCTTCTTACATTGGAACAAGCTTTTGGAAGCAAGAATCCTAAATGAATGAAATGAATCTCTCTGCAGAGACACCTGGGACAAAGCAGCTGGCTTTCCTGAGAGAGAGCCCTTGTTGGGCTTCAGCTCAAGATGTAGTAGGGGAGCTGCATTCAAAGTAAGGCCATGACCCCGGGTTCTGTGCCAGGACTTTAAGCACCCAAATGTTGAAAGATGTGGAAGAAAAGCAAAAGGAGGCAGGTTGATTTGGTGGGGGTGGGTTGGGGGTAGGATTTGGAGAGACAGGTCAGGTGGGATATCATAAAACAACATTCAAAGACTGCTACAACAGCGCTTCTCTTACAATATATTAAAAACAAAGCAAAAGGGATTGAAGTCAAGCCTGAAAAAGATCTTGTTCTTAAATGGCACTCAGGCTGAACACAGGGCCATATGTTCACAAGAAAGGCACTCTACCAGTTGAGCCTTGAACCAGGTCCTATCTTTTTTTTTTCTCTTAGTTATTTGAGAGTTAGTGTCTTGTGTTTAGCCTGGGCTGATCAAGATGCTGAACCTCCTGTTTACGCTTTCTGTGTAGATGAGATGGCAAGTGCATATAGCAGTATATCCAGCTATTGCTTGAGATGGGATCTTGATAACTTCTCCTGGGCTGGCCTTAAACTGTAATCTTCCATATCTCTACCTTCCAAGTAGCTGGGATTTTAAACATGAGTGACTATATCCAACCAAGGGTTAATTTTTTAATTGCAGCTAAAAAACAAACAAGCCATATTTCACCAATTCTTTTCCTAGGGCCTAGACACTGTTGAATTCAGGGCCTAGACACTGTTTTGTTTTTGCTCAGTTTTTGCTCAAGATTAGTGCTCTACCATTTGAGTAAGAGCTCCACTTCTGGCTTTTGGATGATTAATTGGAGACAATAGTCTCACAGACTTTCCTGCCCAAGTTGGCTTCAAACCAGGATCCTCAGATCTCAATCTTCTGAGTAGCTAGGATACAGATGTGAGCCACCAGCACCTGGCTTAACTCCATCCTTTTAAATTAAGAAAAAAAAAAGAAAATAAAATCTCACATTCTGATCCCTCCAGGCCTGACTGAGATGATCTCCTAAGGATACTTTCTAGGCCAACAATTTTAAGGCAAGCATATGATCTGGCTCCTGATCCTTCCTCTACCCCAGCCAGCCCCCCTGGACAGGACACCCTATGAAAACATGTTTATGCTGCCTCAGGTAAAGGTTGAGATAGGTGGTTAGTCTTTGCATTTGTTGAAAACGAAGTCTAGTACGTATAAAACATGATTTGATATAATTTGTTTTCTAAGTTTGGGAGGGCTATAATGTTTCGCTTTAACCTGAAGTCCCAGAGTCATTGCAGTTTGGCATCTCTCACTTACCTTGGGTTTATATGCATTCAGCATCGACATCTCTACATTTTGGCCTCTGACATGTTTCGGTTGCCTCTGGACTGGTGGTGACGAGGACTTCTGGTTATTGCGGCAGACACAGATGAAGAAGAAGAGGAAAGCAATAGCCAGGGGAATGGCTACACTTGGCACCAGAATGTACAAAATTTCCATTTTATTTTTCTCCTTGGAATCCTTTGAATCTGAATACAGACAAGGAAAATAGCAAGAATTATACTTGTTAAAATAACCTCCATAATATTACATTACCGAGTGTAAAGTAACCTTCTTTTCCCCAATATACATAAATCTATGATAAAAAAGAATCCATTGCTTATTACAAATTCTATAGATAATTTATTGAAGTTTAAAAGTTTAAAGTTCAAATGTTTAAAAATTGAGAAGGTTTTGTATGTGTGTGGGATACTCTGATATTTCCTCTCTTTATTAGCAGACCTTTATTTCTCTAACACCTTCAAAGTTAAACACCATGAGAATGGACTATATACATCCAAGACCTTTAATACAGACCACAGGACTCTTCTATCGGCTGCTGGCCCAAGTCACCCACCACAACATGGCATTCCACAAATGATGTGCTTGTTTTGGATGGAGTAGATTTATGGGGCCAGATAAAATGTGGCTAAAGAATCCTGGGTCCAGTGTCCCAAAAGCCACTTGCTTGAGAATAAAGGGACCTGAAGCCAGCATCAGGTCAAACACCAATGATCTGTGTGATCTGAACACTTCTCATGTGTAGAAGTAAACGAATATTCTGGATGGTGTCTACAATTCCCTCTAGCACGGAAGTTCTGTATAACTTGACACTTGTTTGAAACCCCAGAATTCTTCTTAAATGGTTTCATATGAACCTAATAATCATGAGTGCTAACACTTTGAAGTATATTTTTGAAATCTTATCCACCCACTTTACCATTGCTTGGCAAAGAATATAATACATGTAGAAGGGCATGAGGTATGCTTTTGTTTTTATAGGTTTGAGTCTGACTGTTAAAGCCCACCACTTTAAAACATGTATTATCATTAATAAATCATTCGACTGGTAAAACAAACACAAGAATTATAGGATGGTAATTAGAGGGGTTACATGATGACATTCTCTGACCAGCAAGATCAGCCATTTTCAGGAAACTGAAATGTGTGAAAATTTAGATGGCACAAAATTTAGAGATGATTATTTACTTTGCAAAAAATTAGCATGCATCTATTAAGTTATCCTTCTAAGTCCCTTAGCAAGTCAGTAAACAAAAGCTACTAAGGGCCAAACACTATTCGCAGTAGTGAGAATGAAAAATTAATCATGATATGCTCCCTGCCTTTAAGAAGCTTGTAAGGAAATTGAGGGAAAACATGGTTGCAATATGTTTTAAATGCTACAAGGGAAGTATGAACAGAATGATGAAAAGACCCCCAAAGTTCCATTAAATAGAGTACCTAAAGTTACAGTTCCTTTGAATGGGTTCCTAAGTACATGAAAATGGAAATAATGTTTACTTATATCTACCTTCCTTGAATTTCCACTTCTGCTAGAATATAGCTGTAATAAGTCATATTTTTACCTTTTTCTCACAAAACAGACTCTGAATACATTAGGAAGGAGTACTCTACATTAAAGCTCACAGGGGATTGGGGGGGGTTAAATCTGGTTATTAGTATAATAAAAATAATAATTATTTGAAGCTGGGTGCTGTAATCCTAGCTTCTCAGGAAGCTGAGATTCAAGTATTACAGTTCAAAGCCAGCCTGGGCAGGAAAGTCTGTGAAATTCATATCTCAAAAAAACCCACTAGAAAAAACTGATGTGGTGACTCAAAGTGATAGAGACTCAAAGCCTTGAGCAAAAGAGCTCAGGGACAGCATCCAGGCCCTGAGTTCAAGCCCCAGGACTGACTGTGTGTGTGTGTGTGTGTGTGTGTGTGTGTTCATATATACACATATATAATATGTATATATATATATATATAATTTAATCTACTAGCACAAAGTCATGTTTGCTATCCTTATTATAGAGACCAGGTGCTTTTCATAATGACCTAATTTTAACTTGAGATTAGGAGGTAACATACTTCTCCCCCACCCCTCTCTCTCTTGGTGCTAGTTCTGGGGCTTGAACTCAAGGCTTAGGCTCTGTCCTTGAGCTTTTTTGTTCAAGGCTGATGCTCTACTACTTGAGTCACAGCTTCATTTCTGGCTTTTTGGTGGTTAACTGGAGTAAGTCTCTTGGATTTATCTGTTCCAGCTGGCTTCAAACCATGATCCTCGGATCTCGGCCTCCTGAGTAGCTAGGATTACAGCTGTGGGACATCTGGCCCTTTTCCTCATTTTTAAACAGTGAAATGTTAGAGGGATACCATGGTTAAGGTTAAGCTAGTAAGTTAAACCCTGCAATTTCCCAAGTCAGTCTTGCTCCATGCCTCCTGCTTTGGCTACTGTTCCAGCATTGCCAGCAATTGAAGACCACTTGCTACTTTGTATCTATGCTCTCCTTGGAGATGTCCTGTATGGAATATGGATGATGAGGTAGGTCTGAAAGGTAGAGAGTAACATTGAAGCTATGAAAGACAATGATGCTTTAAACTCCCACCATATCCACCATGGTAGAGAACTTTCTAACCCAGGCATCTCTGGAGACCATACTAATCATGGCATGTTTCTCTAGTAATGACTATATTTACATGTCTGGGGTTAGATAGGAAAGAATTGTATGTGTAAGAATGTCTTCCCTGAGGCCGAAGGTAAGTATAGAAATGTATACACAGATACACAAAAGTGCATATACAAGCACACCCACACACACAACACCCACACACACATGTAAGCACTTATGTAAGAACACACACATAAGCATACAAACATCAGGATACATATACAAACACATACCCCTATGTTAGAGACAATGTGATATACATTTTAAAGTCAGAAACCACTGAATTCTGCCTTTGCCATTATCTATGTGAACATGGGCCAGCACCTAGCCACTCCATGTAAACTGGTCTACCAAGAGGGAATAATGATAATACCTATTTCGTAGAATTGTTGCAAACAATAAGCAAGGAGACATGGAATGTGCCTATTCTCATACCTGTTGCCATGTCTGGAGTTGAAACTAGTAAAAGACCTCAAGCAAGAAATGCTCTCTGATCTCCATTTCCTCCTTCATTCAATAGGAATAATACCTACTCTTTCAATCTTACGTGGCACACAGGAGAATCAAATGAGATCAAATTCATGAAAGAACCTTGGATAATCAAAAATTACTATCTGCTTGTTGGATGATATATTATTAACGTGATAGAATTTCTCAGTATGGGATAGATCTCTTGTTATTCTTGGATTTTTCTGTGAAATCATTATGAGTGTAATGATTACAGAAGGAATGACGCTAATTTAAGACTAATGTAACGCTAGTCATTTTTTTCAGCCTAGAATTTTAGCAACAACAGAAGGTAAGGTCTCACCTGTCTGGCAAACAAAGGCCTCTATTCTGAATTCATTCCCTATCAGATTATCCATGGAAGGCCTTTTATTGTAAAAGGGCGCTCTGGGACAAATCCCCCTGTGGATCTGTGGGAGAAGAAACTTCAAGAAGCTAAATCCTTTAAACACACAAACTCAGCCCCTTTTGCTTACACATAGGATATGCAAAGGAGGACAACAGACATAATGTCTTCCTGTCAAGTGAAATAATGAAGTGGGATAATGTGAAGTCATGTTAGAAGTGACAGAAAACAAATTTAAGCCTATTCTGGGTCTCTTTCCTTATAACAAGTCTCTTTCCTGTGCTTGGCCAGAAAGGGCACAATCTTTTTGAGAAAAGATGTTTCATAGAACAACTAGCCTTATGAAAAAGCCCTTAGAAAACCAATTCCTGCCAAGTCCCTTTTAAACACTCAAGCATTTTTGTTCCTTGTTTGAGCCTAGCACTTTATCTCAGCTTTACACATGGAGAAATTAAGGCTGAGAGGGATAAGGGACATGGCAAAGCAAGACAGAAGCAAGCCCGGGTTCAATGTAAACCTGTCTTCCTTTAAAGCGGCTCCCATGCTTTTAAAGTTATATTCCTAATAAAGAATGATCACAAAAGAGTGAATAAACATGTTTTTCCTCATTCTCCTTAAAATCCAAGGTTCTTTTCAATGAGCACTAAGATCCAGAGGCTCACACTATATGAGAATGGCACATGGGCACAATGGACACTGTGGTACTACTCACTTGAGAGGGGAAAGGAAATCTTCAGTGCATTGCACAGAAAATTGGCTGAAATTAGAATAGGGAAGAGTTTCTTTTTCTTATACAGAATAACTGTTTAAAAGTTAAACGTGCCTATTAGTTATATCAAGTTCAATACTTGGGATTTTTGAAACCAACAATTTAGTCCAGATCACATGATTCGTTTCCTTTTAAAAATCAACAATTTGGTATCACAGTTCACATCTGACATTCCTATTTTATTTTTACAATGATATTCAATACTTTGATTAGTAATTAAATATAATGGAGCAAAAATACTCTTTTTTACCCCGGGGCTTAAAGGAAGGTAAACATGATTTCTTATTCAAGGGGTACTTTTGTAAAGTGAAACATCATCTGGGATATTACTTTGAGTTAAAACAAGAAAATGCTCTGATATTAAATATGCCAAAGGTGGGAAAGAATCTTACAGAACCTTAGAATTCCAAGGAAATGAAACAAGTTTAAATTACGATCTTGTCTGGAAAAAAAGTGAAACCAAAGAGAACAGGAACCACCACCATTTATTATATAAGAACTAAAATAAGTGGGTCTGTAGCCCACATTAGGCTGGACCAATGATATTTAAGCACATTTACTAAAGCCCAAGGAGAAAGGGTAGAATTAGGCCTTTGGTTGGCATGCTAAGTCTTGCCATTCATTCTCTTGACTTGCTGAAGAAAATATGAAGTAGATTTCTAATATCTATTGCCTAGTCTCAAATGAATTCCTTCAAAAAATGTTGAATAGGCCATGCTGGCACTACAATTTTTTTTCTCCACAGAAAATGTCTCAGTTTTAATAAGTTAGGGGAAGTAAGCCATTGTGAGCACTTGAAAGAAAAATCTTAGGAACTGGAATCTACATGATTTCATTAAAATTAGACAAATCTTAAAAAAATAATTAGAGAGATATTTAATGATAAGAAACAGAACTGGTGTGAGCTAGTGGC